TATATACTGTATGCATAGCTCAGACTGAGAAAAGTAGCTGATGATATTTTCCTCACTTAGTTCAGATCTCTAGTGTTTTAATCACCAAAGGAAGTTTCTAAGCATGTTCGTGAGTGGTAAATATCGGTCGTTTTGAGATTATAGTACATATTTATCCTTTTAATTGGACTGTGCTTTGGTAGTATTTGGGTGGTGGAAAGCAAAAACATAGTACAACTGGAGAGACTAAAAAGATCCCCGATGGATCAAGTAAGTGCATTTCAAACAGGTGATTTATTTAAAAGCAGTTTATAAGTAAAAGAAATGCATTCCGCTGTTCTTACTGGCAGCCAGTGGCCATCACCACATCTTATAGTAGTACTTTCTAGGATTTATTAGGCAAATTTCTAGGTTGACCAATTATAACAACTATAAGTGGCTTAATGTATCTGGACATAAAATAAAGAATAAAACGCAAAAGATGTATCATCAGAGGAAACAGTAGAGATAAAAACCCTTCCTCAACAGAGACAAAAACCAACACTCCCTCTCGCCAAGCACCCTAACCTAATGCCTTGGGGGAAGAGCCATGTTTTTAATGCTTTTTTAAACGTTGGCAAGGTGGTATTCATACACATCTCTTGAGGGTTGCTGTTTCAGAGGGTGGTGTCCTGATAAAGAAGGCTTACTTCCCAAGTGCTGCTAGATGACTTTGTTTAACTGGCAGACCCAAGAATCAGGGTGGATTTGATTTAAATCGAGTTGATTTAAATCATAATTTAAATCATGATTTAAATCACTAGTAAAAAGGCTTGATTTAAATCAACTCGATTTAAATCATAATTTTTAAAGAGCAACTGTCATCTCTGCTACTCCTTTGACCCACTGTTGACTCACCGATAGTCCCAGTGTTGCAGAATATACAGCCTCATGCTACATAACTAAGCTCCATTTCATGCTGAATAAACTAAATTATTTATGTATCTTAAATAGAAAACTATCTTACGATAGATTTTTACCTCAAAAGTTTTTTATTAAAATAAATTTGATAAAAATAAAAAAAATCCGATTTAAATAAAAAAATCTGATTTTTTTGAATTTTTTTAAAAAAAATCATTGATTTTTATCCACCCTGCCAAGAGTGAACCAACTGTCATAGGAGACAGAAAGCTCCTCAGATAAATGGGCCCTATGCTATGTAGGATTTTAAGGTGACAACCAACATCTTAAGTTGCACTTGGAAGCCAAGTGGTGGCCAGTTCACAAAGCATGGGTGTTACATGGGCGTAGCATACTTGCCCATCACTATTTGTCTCATTGCAGTCAGGACCAGCTATAGCTTACAAATAGAGTACCGCTCCATGTAGAGACATTGCAGTAATCCATCTATGAAGTGACCAAGGTACGGTTAGATCACATAACTATGCCTTACAAACTTTGTAACTAAAGTATGGTTGTAAGAAGGGCCCTCCTAGTCCAAGAAGAGATACATCTAGTGCCCAAGATGAACCTGTGTGAAGGCCCTCCTAACTATCTGCTCCTCCAGGGGAATTGTGAGACCAGGAGCCCCAAATTATACACCAGACCGCGATAAAGATTGTGCAGTCCCATTCTTGGCAGAAGATGGAAGATCCTCCACATTAGAGGCCCAAACACTCCTTTGTCTTGCTAGGATTGAACCTGAGCTTGTTCCTCTTGAATCAAAATCACTCAGCCTCTGGGTAACAGGTCACAATGTCAGCAGCATCACTTGACTAGCCCAGGGACAAGAGGCGTAACTGAGTATCACCAGTGTATTCATGATGCCTGACCCTGACTCAGCAGCCTCGTATAGATGTTAAATAGAAGGATTGAGAGCATTGAGCTCTGAAGGGTTGAATCATGAGTTCTATCATTGTGAGAAAGGAAAGAGTTTCCATACCATGCAATTTTATATATCTCTGTGTTTGCCTGGTTGTGCAACAGAACATTTTACTTCAAAATGGTTTACATGTGAATTTTCATTAAATGGCCCATCTTAAATTCAAAGCTGGGCTTTTGAGTGCAAAACAGTGTGCAGATCATTTTCAATTATTGATGAAATGCTTTAAGGTTGAAATACGGATGGTCTGAAATTCTGTTCCAAAGTCAAACACGATTCAGGAAAACACCATTTCACAATTGGAATAGTTTCAGATTTCAAGATAGGACACATCACTAAGTTAATATTTGAAATATTTCAAAGCAAAATATTTTGTGCACCCTGGCCTCTAATTTTTTTTATTATATATATTTCTGCTTCAATATTTTAATTAGTCCTACTTTTTAAAAAGTCTACTTCTTTGTCCCTAGAAAACTACTGTCTTTAGCAGCTGGAACATCGTTACAGTCACCTAGAAAAACCCCTTTCCATTGTTATAATTACCTAGACAAACCCATTCCCAGGATAGCCCTAGACTGGGCCAAGATACTGTGTTGCCACAGATGTAACCCAAAATGTACAATCTAGGTTCCCTTGAATTATAAGGTGTTGAGAGGCAATTGTTAGTGCAGAATGTGTGTTGTGGTTTAGTGTCAACTGTCTCCATACAAGAATTGAGTTTGGTGTTGTGCTGCATAGAATTTACATGAAAAATGTTGGCAAGCGCTCTTCTCATTATTAAAAGATTTCTAGAATAAATTTATCAGAAAAGTTTATATTAATGTTTTATTTAATTACCTAGCCTTCCATGAATGCCATTTAGAATTATGTTTTATCATTTGCAAAAAAATAAAATTTTTATGTTTGTGTGTGTGTGTATGTATGTGTTCCTTTTAGGCACTGAGCCGATGTCAGCTAAAGCATGCCATTTCATTGTGGCAGCTCCTTTCTAGTCATAAATCAGAACAGCTGCTGTATTTGAAAAAGGTAGGATGTGGGATATGGATGTGCTCACCAGACATTTCTTGCCACTGTTTTCTCTCTCCTCCCCACATAACCATTTCTGTCCGTCTCTTCCTCATGTTTTATCCAGGATCCTTTTGGAGAGATCAGTGCAGCCTATAAAGAGACACTCACAGAGGATAGTATCGATCTTCTCAAAGCTTTCCTCACTCAGTCAGGGTTGGAGCCCTTCCTTCAAGAGTTGCATGAAATGATCATGCTGAAATTGAAACATGCCAAAGTTGGAGAAGAGTACAATCCTACATGGGGGTAAGAGTGTGAGCAGCCCAATCCTTTTGGTTTTTAAAGTGAAATACATCCTGTTTTGCAGGGTTTCTTACTGTTTTGGGCTTATTGTTTTTCCTTTTTTCCCAGCCTGAAAGATACACTTTTTCCATATCTTGAAGGAAAAGGTAGCAGTGAGCTTCAAGACTTGTATGATGTGTTCCCAGAAGATATCCTGGTTTCCCAGTGTATCGCTGCCTGGAAAATAGCTGCTGCTCTTAAACGGGGTGGATGTGGTCCAGGAAATTAATCCATATACTTTTCCTCTCTCCCTCCATTCACTGATGAGTGGAGCAGTGTATTTAATTGCTGGGTTTTCTTTATATTTATACAAAAAGAAATGAAGGAGATACACTTAAGGTGATCCTAAATTAAAGAATCAGGTGCTAAATGTGAATAGTGATGCACACACAAAGGAATTATTGCTTTAGATAATGAAGGATTTCTAGTAATACATGTTGGATAAGTACACTGCAGTCAAAGGAAAGTATTTTCATTGTTAGATTTTTAAAAGGACCATGTAACGTCTATAACTTTGGCTTTATAGACTTCATTATAAACTTTCCTCTTTAATCTGTTTAGAATTGGCAGGGACAGAGAAACAATCTTCTTTCCCTCAACTTCTCTGGATTTTCTAAATGCTACCAGTTATTTTTTTAAAATCAGGGACATAATTTCTCATACACTAAATTGTCTACTTGTCTGAGACTAGATATCTGAGCAAGTGGTTAGCATCAAGCAAATATGTAAGTGAACCATCCCAATCATGTTTACTGATAGTTTGAAATAGGCTATGAGGTTGCACTTCCTTTGATTTACTGAGTTTTTTTCTAAGAAGCTGTGGAAATTAGTATTTTTCCTGTTTAAAGATGCTGTTGTGAGATAAAGACCAGTATGTACTGATAGTTTTTAGCTGCCAGAGAAATATGTATTTAAATAGTTCTATTCTTAGTTTTGATAGTTAATTGACATTTGTACCAAGTTATGCATTAGACATTGCCATTCCAACCCTCTCTAGAACTTAAAAAGAAATGGAGCTTGTGTTCTTCATTCAATTGTGCCAGGATGATGTCTTAATACAGATTGCTGTACTGCCAGAGAACAGAGTATGCCTTGACTTATTTTTTTCAGTATTCAAAAATTGCAATTTATAAAATCTACTTTCTAGTCTTTTTTTTAAATAAAGTCCTTTTTTTTAATAAAAAGTTTAATAAAAGTCCTTGTTACAAAAGTGTTCAGACTGTGTCCCTTATTCCTTTCTATAGCACCTTGCAATTATATCACCTTTCTTAAACTGGAGAACATAACAGTTTGGTTTTACTACTTGTCATTTAGTTAATTGACATTTAGCAAGTCACCAAGCTAAAACCATTAACAATTTTACCACAGATGTCTTCGAAACAGGGAGCTTTAACCCACATCTCGTGGGTGCTATGTGAATTATAATCCATGAACCATAGATTCAATTTGTTCAGAGACAGGGACCTTCTTGAACCTTCTATAAGAATTAGGATATCAACCACACACATTCTAATCATTGGTGCACAAGAAAAGTTGCCAAACCCAATCTGCCACCTGTAAGGAAAATTGGGAAGATACTGCTCTTCATTTATTCCAATGGCAATTTCTCCTTTCATTTTAGTTAATGTGAGGGGAATCTTCATTCTCCATTCGATGGTATTTCTCTCCCCCCCCCCCCCCCCCGTTTATAGTATATCCAATAAAATTCCTCTTTCCCGCTTATGAAATTCCCTTAATTGGATTTTTTTAAAAACGTAATTTCCTGGACTTGCTTGTACTCTGGAAGATTAAACATTCGGAGCAGCAAAGAGGTTTTCAATTTCCAAATGGGAAACATGCAATTTATTTCCTCAACAAACTTTTAATTATCCGTAGCTATCACTCGAGAACGGGTGTTATTTCTGGATTTATTCACAAGCGCCGGTTTATTTATTGCAAAGCCACCGGTTAAACAGCGGCGGCTTTGCACCAGAACTGCCACGTCTGAGCTAAACCTGGAATAGTTAAGACGGCATCCAAAACCCTCTCCCCTATTGCCATCAAGTCCTTTTTGCAGCCTTAGCTACAAAAGCGTAATACGGCGAAGCGGGGCTGTGGACGCTCTCAATCGGAAACGCTGAGGATCGTAGCTGCCGCTACGGACGGAGCAAAGCCAGCCCGGTCGCTCGTGCCTCCGCCCTTCGGTGCAAACAGGAAGCCGAAGGGACGGACGGAGCACCGGGCGCCGCAGCCGTGAAGCGAACCCCAGGAAGTAGGCAAAACCCAGGGCGCGGACGGACGCCATGGCGGACGGGATGGGAACTAGGGAAGAAGAAGAGGAGACTTTGCGGCGCTGGGAGCGGTAAAACGCCAGCCCGGGGCAACCAGAGATGAAGAAGGGCTCGGGGAGGTCTTCCTGCCACCGGGGAACCTGGGATTTGTATTTCTTTTGAGCTGCTGGGTTCTTGGCTCCGCCTCCTGGGTCCCTCGTGGCTGCAGAGGGATTGAAGGGCTCCTGCCTCCAAGGGCGTCCCCTGCCTGGCGGCTTGAATGCGGGAGGGAAGCGCCCTAAATTAAAAGCCCCCCCCCCCCCCCCCGCCCGGGAGGGGGGCTGCTGGAAGCCACTGGCTGCGAATCCCTTCCCTGAGCTGAAGAGGTCTCGCTTCTAGACGAGAATGCCAGTAGCCTGCAGATGAGGCGTTGTGGTGCCTCCTTCCCGGAATGGGGGGCTGCGGGTCTAGACACCGTCAGCTGCATTTCCCCGGTTTCTCTACTAGGGCAGGGAGTCTCCAACCGTGGCAACTTTAAGACTTGTGGACTTCAACTCCCAGAATTCCTCAACTAGCATGGCTGGCAGGGGGATTCTGGGAGTTGAAGTCCACAAGCCTTAAAGTGGCTAAGATTAGAGACCCCTTATACTAGGCCAAGCTGTGATCTTGATTTGAAGGGTTAAAAAAAAAGGAAGGGGAGCTTGGTCGGCAGAGGCCCTCATGTCACAGGAGCGCATCTTTTCCTGTGTTTCCTCCCTTTGGAGTCCAGATCACCACACAGCCTTGCTTTAAATTTAATGACATTAATCCACCATTTGAAAAGGGCCCATCAATTCATCAACATTCTCCGTCAGCATGGAAGCACAAATCAGTAAAAATCAGAAGCTGGAGCAGACCTGTTTGGAGAAAAATACTAGTGCAAGTAGGATCTTTCAGCGTAGAACAAAGTATTTGGGATAGAGAAGTTCCAAAGGATCACAGGATAGCAACATAATCTGATACAGAGTTAGCGAAGAGGGAGCAGTTTTAGTCTCTGTTGCACAGTCCTGGAAGCTCAGATCATCCCATGAACACTAGAGAAGACAGTTAGAAAATGTTAGAAAACGCTGTAGGATACTTAAAACAAGATCTCAGATACCGAGCTCTCCCGTTCCTGTTAACCTCAATAAGTAGGTGGAAGGTCACAAGTTGTCCATATCTGGAGACATACATACACACACACACACACACACACACACCGATCCCTGTTTATGAATTAAACTGGGATTATTGCCACCAGGACACTGAAGATATGTTAGCCCCAGTATAAGAGGCAATATGCTTCCACATACCAGTTACTAGACAACTTGAGCGGGATATTGGGTTCATTTCTTGCTTGTGGAGTCCCCACATCTGGTCAGCCACAGTGGGATCTGAATATTGTATTTGATAGACTGCCAGATTCGTGTGGCTGTTTTTATGTTCTTTATTGGATTAGTGATGAGTCATTGAATAGGGTCATTTCAAGTTCTTTGAAACCGATAAAACATTGAGAGAAAAAAAATCTTTTTCAAAAAATTTGAAATAGTTCAACATTCTATTCTGGAAGCAGCATTTGGTTTACACACATATCTCTCCCTTTTTCAATTGCTACCACTTTTTATATCACCCATAGTGCTTTTTGGCTTAAATGATAATAGGAACTGGCAGATTTTATCTAGTCCTATTGTATTCTGTAGTCAACAAATCCAGATGAAAGAAGATGTGATTGAACAAGACACACAGGAATGGCAGAGCAATTTCTCTTTTACTGGACTGGAAAGAGTTGGAGGAATGGATTTGTCTTTTCTCAAAGAAGATGCCACACGTGCCTGTGCTTCACTGGTGGTGCTCAGCTACCCAGAACTTGAGGTAACAAAGATAAATACTAAAGACATAACAAGGAATTTTTTAACATCTAGGATTAATATTAAGAAGACTAAAATTCCAAGTTTCCCAAAGTTTGACTATCTGCCTTAGTAACTTCCAGTTTAGTTGTCTTGGTGGATTCCAGCTGAGATATTTATTTCCATAATAGAATTGAGAATAAACTCTTGGAAGCAATTGAAGAGCCGGTGAATTCTGGGACTGTTGTCAAATTTAGGGATATTCCAGCTGTTGTCACTTTAGCTTGTCACTTTTCAAACTGATCTCCCAGTCCTGATTCTCAAGTTGGGAAATGCTGAGGGCCATCAACATTCTCCAGGTGAAAAGAGTATACAGCATTTTCAAAATTTTGTAATTCTTTTGCCAGTTTTGCTGTCTCGGAATCAAGTTAGTGGAGTTATAATTTTGCTTCTTATCAAATGCCCATATGCGTTATAGTTGCCTACAAGAGCATCTCTTCAAAAGATGGTTACTTTAGAAAAACTCAGAAACCACAAGATCTGATAAATGGATGGATGAATATGTATATTTTCTACTGTTTCAGCCATTCCTTAAAATATTTTCAGGTGTATTTTTGATTTCTCCATGGAGAATGAGCTGTTAGTGTGAAAGTATATGTTTTACCTTCTTGCAAGCATTTTTAAACATTGTGTAGAAAATAACATATATTGCTCAGTGCCGTTTTACTTGTAAGAGACCACAAATGTGATTGTCTGCCTGCTGCATTGAGCAATCAAAATATTCCTGACCTTGGCTGCCAAATATAAAATTCCAGAGCTGTCGAGAGAAAGAGAACTGGCAGGAGAGAAGCTTTTTTTCCAGCTCTGAGAATTGACGAAAGAGACAATCTCAACAGTTTGGTAGACAAAGGAAAGGGATGTGATGCGTCTTTTTGTTTTAGTCTAGATCAGAAGTAGGAAATCCTTTTTCTTAGCTGGGTTTTTATTTATTCCTTGCTTGATATTTTAAGTAAATACTTAAATAAATAAATATTTATTTACTTATCATTTTAAAGCACTCTCTAGAACTGGAGGGAGAAATCTGGTATTGCAATGACAGTAGATGCTTGCACAGTCCTGTATCTGTTCTTACCTTACATTTGCAAACACATGAGAAGGTTAAATTTGAACCACTTTGCTGATTTGTTTGGGGCATGCCAAATGTGAACTGGGAGTTCAGTTCAAGGGTTGTGTCTGACCACTGGCCACTTCTGACCTAGATGATCTTGAAAATATTAGTCTTGGTCCTTAGCAAAAATGTCACTTTTTCTTCTGTCATCACAGGTCCTCTATGAAGATTGCTATGTGGTGGCTGTGAATGCCCCCTATGTGGCAGGATTCCTGGCTTTCCGAGAAGTCCCTTTTTTACTGGAGGCTGTACAGCGGCTGGAGACGCAGAAGCCTGGCCTCAAGCCCCAGGTGGGATAGTTTGCGTTAATGAAAGGAGTGCTTCTGCTTTATGCCAAGGATATATTTCATCCAGCATTCCCCTCCTTCAAAGAACTAACAACCAGGGCTTCAAAACGTCTGGCCCCTAGCATTTCATGGCTTAGTCCCTGTGGATATGGATGTTCCCTTTAGGTACCCATGACTGTTTTTCTCTTACCTGAAGGCCAGAACTCCTAAGAACATCTTTGATCTCTCTAGGACAGGGCTGTCAAACTTGCGGCCTGCGGGCTGGGTGTGTCATGCCCACGCCCATGCCTGGTTTAGCGATGGGGAAAATAGTCCCAATACGTCATGTGATGCCGTGACGCCACAAGTTTGACACCCCTGCTTTAGGAGGACTAGGCCCAAAGTCAGTGTCTTTAAGCTGTGCTACAGACCCAAAAGGACAGCTGCTCAAACCTAGTTTAAAAGCCTCTTTTGAGTCATCCAGTCAGAATAAAAAGCACCGTTCCTGAAACAACTAGAGAGGCTTCATTTTAGGAAACTATGGAAGGCCCTAGTTCACCAAGACACCACAACTGGAGTCCTCGAGCAGCTTTTCTCTCATAAAACAGATGCGAAAAGAGATTCTTGGAACTAAAGCACCCTGCAAATGTGATGGGATAACAACTCCCATGATTCCCAGTCTGCACAGCCATACCTTGCATTGGCTTGAGAACAATAATATTTATAAACCTATACACCTGGAGAATACCAGCTGGGGTAGGATCTCAATTAAAAAATTCACATGAATTTGGACATGTCACTTTTTTTAAATATATCAGATCTTGAGGGAGGACAAACAATGCACTTGCTGTATTTCAGATTCAATAAGGTTTTTAGTGACTGATTTTGTGACTAGGTCTCGCATCTTTCTTACTGGGGGAAAGTACAGAAGGTGGCCACCAAGGGTATTTGCCTGCTTTTTTGATACTTTGTGTATGCAAAGCAACACAGGCAATGCTGACATCTCCATTACTGAAACAGCTTCCCACTGTATTATCTATTACCAAAGTGCTCTTTTGTGGGTTTTCTGTTTTTTTTTCTAGGTGCTTCTTGTAGATGGAAACGGCATTCTGCATCACCGAGGTAAGTTTCCTGGCCCATCCTTGCCAGTAAATCCTTTAGATTTACTGTACTGTAAATTTGCATGTAGATTTAAAGTAAATCCTTGAGATTTACTTTCCATCTCTGAGATGTTTACAGCATAAATATGCCGTCTTGAATATGCCAAGACGGGGAGTCACTGGTTGATTTCTCATTACTGTAGTGTTTTCAGAGCTTTTGGGGAAGAAGTTATTCGTGTTCAGTCTTTTGGCAGTTGCCAGAGAGGAAGGAGGGGAAGACAAAAAAAATTCCATCTCCTCTTCGTAGGCTATACTAGCCTGCTTGCTGACAGTAAGTGAAAAGGTTGTCCTCCCCCACGCCTAAAAAGAACAGCAGAGTAACTGGAAGGCATTTTGGGGAACATCAAGAAATGCATTGCAAGGTTGACAGCAGCCTTATGTCCTTCACGGCTTGGCCTTCCTTTGGGAGATTTTTCAACCTCATGCCTTCATAAAGTGGTGCCAGATTTTTCTCTTCACAATAAAATGGAAACTTCTCTTACCAGTTTTTTTCTTCCAACATCTGCTCCTCCTGCGTTATATTCAACAGGTTTTGGCATCGCCTGCCATCTTGGTGTTCTCACAGATCTTCCCTGTATTGGTGTAGCCAAAAATCTCTTGCAGGTTGAAGGTTTGGCCAATGATGAGCTTCACAAGAAACAAGTAAGTGTTGAAAGGTGTGAATTACATTTCACATTCTTATTTCCAAACAGTAGGGGGGGCGGGGCGGATGTTAAAAGAAGCTGCTATGTACAGCCCTTCTGAGTTTTTTTTTCTCATTTAAAGTGGGAAAATGATGGAGTTAAGCTACAGGATGAAATATATTCAGACTGATTGACAATTAATTATGTAGTGACCAAGATGCACTGCCCACTGTGTGTTTAAAAAACCACAGTAAACCATGCCTTCCTGCTGTGTGTGTGTGTGTGTGTGTGTGTGTTGCATGGTCTTGACACATGAACATTACTGCAAGGGAAGCCACTTATTTCTATGCAGAGTAAACCTTTAAAGGAGAATTTCAGCCAAGTTATTTTGGTTTCAGACTTTTATTCAGAGATATCCTGTGTAGCAGTGGCCCCCAACCTTTTGGACACCAGGGATTGGTTCCATGGAGAAAGGTTTTTCCACAGACTGGAGGGGTTATGGTTTTGCATGCTGCCTGCATTTTGTGGATGGGGCTTCGCTTGTTTGCACGGCCTGGTTGTGGGTATGTCTTAGACTGATGCCGGTTCACAGACTGAGGGTTGGGGACCCCTGCTATACAGAACAGCAATGGAGAAGAAACACTGATACTTGACTAGCACAACTCCCTCCTCTTTTTTGTTTTTTGCAGAAAAGGCTCCAGTTTAGGAATTAATCTTGACTTACTTCATCGGTCTCAACACATCTGCTGTAGTAAATTTCTTTCTCCATATTCCAGATCCAAGATCTTCAGGCAGGAGGAGATGCATTCCCACTGACAAGTACCTCTGGGAAAATCTTGGGTATGGTAAGTATTTTTGGGAAAGCAGCATCTGTCTATCGGAAGTGGAAAGAGTCTGAAGAAATGAGTGCAATAAAAAAGAAAGATCGATTTATCCTCAGTCACGGAAGCAGTCTTTCCAACATGAACATTGTCTTAAGTAGCAGACTTTGTCTGGGGTTCTTATAGAAAAGTGATTAATAAATGTAAGTGAGTGATTGAGTGAATGAAGGAATGAATGAGTGCTGCATAGTCACCTTTTTCTTTCTTCCATTTCAAAATCCAGCTTCTCCTTCCATTAGCTAGCTAGAATTTTTCACAGATCTATTTTGTTAAATAGAAGAGACACCTAGCAGGGAAAAAGAGAAAGAAAAACAGAACTCAGTGTGTACCATATGCACATGCACTTACACACTGTAGTATTGCCTACATAAAGTCCCAAAGGTGCTTTTTCAAAAGCCAACTGGATTTTGTTTTTCCTTGAAGACGTTTGACTTCTCATCCAAGAAGCTTCTTCAGTTCTGACTGAATGGTGGAAGAGGGAAGGATTTATATTTTTTGTAGTCATCTGGTCATTAGCACTCTTTCTGAGAGTCATTGAGGCCACATGGAAGTTTATTTGTGCCCTCAGGGTCATCTGAATAGTGTAAATGGGTGTGGAACCTTCTTGGAACTGCTGAAAGGACTGAAGAAGGTTCTTGGATGAGAAGCGAAACATCTTCAAGAAAAAGCAAAGTCCAGTTGCCTTTTAAAAAAGCATCTTTGGGACAATGAGGACGTGGATGACTGAGAATCTCTATAGACATTTTGCCTACTTAAGGGTTCAAGAAATATATGAGTGATGTTTACATGGTTCCTACCCCATTTTGCTTGTTCATTCATGTTCTTTGGACATTGCACAGTTTGCATGTATCTAGCAGTATCTCTGTTTCTTAACTGCCCAGGCCTTGCGTAGCTGTGCCAAGAGTACAAAACCTGTATACATCTCAGTAGGCCACAAGATAAGTCTACTATCAGCTGTGCGCCTGGTCCATTCTTGTTGCAAGTATCGGATTCCTGAGCCCATCCGGCAGGTATGAGCAGAATGTGCATTTAGAATGCCGATACCAGCAACCTCAAAGCTAAGCAACTTGGTCAACACTCTGAATGCTTGGACTTCAATTCCCAGAGTTCCTAACTAATGATGACCATTGCTAGGAATTCTAGGAGCAGAAGTCCATTCATCTAGAGCAGAGGTGTCAAATTTGGTTTCATTGAGGGCCACATCAGGGCTGTGTTTGACCTCGGGGGGCTGGGGTGGGCGTGCTCAATGTCACTTGTGGCCTGAGCGCTCTGCCAGCAAAAACGGGCTCCCGAGTTCTGTTTTTGCTGGCAGAGGCACCGTGGACTAGTCCTTTGCTGTTTCCAGGGCGGCCCCACAGGTGAGATCTAAGCACCCCGCAGGCTGGATCTGGCTCGCAGGCCTTGAGTTTGACACTCTTGATCTAGAGGACACCCTGGTTAGAAGAAACTAGGAAGCTAGGTGAGGGCTAGGTGATCTGAGCTATGCTCTATCAGATCATTCTTCATTTATTTATTTATGAACTTCATTTATTTTACTATAATACTTCACCAAATACTTCTGGAAAGTCATAAATAGGGTGCAAAGTTGGCAGAAATTCTATTCTTTCATTTCAACATTCTGCCTCCTGAAGACGTGCAAATAAATCATTTTAGGGCTTGATTTAGAAATTTAGAAAATGACATCATTCAACTGGGACTACATAAGCAATTATGCAGTTTGACTGAGGTCCTGAATCAGAAGCAAAATATAATAATTTCAATCCTTAGGTTTCCTACTGATTGAAAACTAATAATACATTGAACATTTTAAGTTTTAAATAAAAGTATATGAAATTTACATTTATATCAGACTCTTCTGAAGAGTTGAAACTTTCCCAGTATCAGAGAAATTGAAACAGGAATTTTAAATTTTAGGTCTTAAAAAGGAACATAACCTTTTTAAAACCTAAAATTTACCCTGGATCTGCAGAATTGGTATCTGCTCCATTTTGGATGGATCTAGATAATCCCTTTTTTAAAAATCTCTAAAATGTTTGGGTTAGGAAGCCAAAATGTATTCTCTGTGAATAATTCCCAGATCACATTGCTTGCACAGTGAATAGGATCTGCTGGGCCAATGGTACTGCTGATCTGCAGGAGTCTGCAGGCTACAGAGATTGCTGAGCCAGAATGCAGCCAGTGGATGGCAGTGCTGGATCACCGTTTATGCACCTTGAGGCAGAGTTTGAGCAAGGAGAGATTTTAGCACAAAATGTGTGGGCCACAGCCTTGCCAAGAGCTAGCCTTGAAGGTTGCAACCATGCTTTCAATATATGCACCTGTGGCAAAGAAAAGCTCAAGCAGAGCAGTTTCTCACCTCTTGGCAGGGATGTTCTGATAGAAGGTACCATTCCTAATGTCAAGAGTGCTCAGATTTATGAGCCAATAATAAGCCACTGCTCCCATGTCAGCATCTTCCTAAATGCTAGCTTCATTCTAAGCTTCAAAGAGAGAATCCATTTGAACCCCTTATAGCAGGGCTTCTCAACCCCCGGTCCTTGGACAGGCACCGGTCCATGACTTGCCAGAAACCAGTCCATGCAAACAAGCGAAGCCCCATCTGCAGGATGCAGGCAGCACATGAAATCACGCCCCTTCCAGTCCACAGAAAAACCTCTCTCCATGGAACCAGTCCCAAAAGGTTGGGGGCCACTGCCTTATAGGTCCCCTCGCGAAATAGTTGTGGGAAACAAAAGTCAGCATGTTGAGATGCTCTCCTCTTGAGCTGAAGGGTATTTTAGATGTGCAAAACTTCAAGTAATCTAGTTGTAGAAGAAAGGCAGAATACAATACGCCGCAAGATGACAGCAAACAGTTAAGATTTTCTGCATCTCTTTGCTTCCATTATTGGTCTTCCGGATTTTTGCAACTCAGATCTGGTTGTCTTGTGTTTGATCAGCCCTTGACCACTGCTTGTATTTTTGTTCGTGATGCTGTCCATAACTCAATGGTAGATGACTCGATGATTTATGCTCATGCAGAAGTGTCAGCTTCATTCCCTGCCATCCTCAGATAAGGTCAGTAAAAGGCATGCAGGAAATCCTTGAGAGCCTCAGTCAGGCAGTGTTGGTAGTACCAAGCTGAGAAACCAACGGATTGATTCAGTATTGGACAGCTTCCCATGTTCCTTACCCACACATCTTCATAAGAAGTCCTGAACAAATAACTCAATAACTTAGCACTGAAATTAGGGTCCATGCTCTGTGCATGATGGTGATTAGAAGCAGCAGATATTCCTTCTTCTAGTATGTAGGCAGATATACATGGTTCTTGATTGTCAATGTTTCCACCACTGGCACAGAAACCATAAGTATTCAAGAGAGTCAGTGTTTGCATGCCTTTTTATGGAAGAAACATTCCATGTGCCAAAACTGACTTTAGTCACCCATTAATATTCCTTCTGATGTGAATATCTCCACTGTAACACAGACACAACTCTGTGCCTTGCTTGCTCCCATCCTCTCTTCCTTTGCTGCAGCATATCTTGCATTTCACTGCCCATTAGCATCTTTATGCTGCCACTCCCACTTTCCTCTCTGGGGAAAGTCAGGCTGCAGCCCAAAAGTGGAAAAAAGCTTAAAATAAGAAGAGGTGCCTCCCAGCCCTGGGATAATAGCAATAACACATGGCAGAAGTAATAAGTCTGCCATCTTTTTGCAACAAAAGCACTTGCACAGTCTTGGGCATCTGACCAGCCTGATGTTTTCTATTTTTTCATACTCCTGGCATAATCCCCAGTCTCTAATGCCACTGCTAGCCTACTCCAAAAATAGATGCGATCTTGAGGGATTATTAAGGCAACATGACCCACCTTATTGATTAGCCTCTTGGGTTAATAAGGTAGATTAAGCCGTTTTAGCACAATGTTAGGAGTGAAATGATGCTACAGTCTAAGAAGACACTTTGCTCTTCCCTTTCCCTGCCATGGAAGCAAAATGAGGGTAGCTCTGGATGCTGAAGGTGGCATTAATAATCTTTGATGAAGAAGCAGGAAAATGAAACAAGGCATTTTATTGAAAAGGTGCTGGAATGTTCAGTATTGCGATTCCTTGGATATTGAATCAATTGAATACTTAGCCATTGCAATTTCTGAGCCACAACATTCATGACTGAGAATCCAGTCTTTGGTTAAACAAGAATAGTTATTTGCTAACTAGATTTTTTTAAAAATCACATATGGGAGAGAGATTTTCCTCTAATGTAACAGTCTGATCTTAAGCCATATTTATTTTCATAGTGATGTGTCTGATCTTAAGCCATATTTATTTTCATCCCAAAAATCTTTTGTTTTTAATTATCTCAAATATAATTTTATTAAGAATTTTAATTACAATAGTAGAACCTGATACAAACTAAACTTAGAGAAAGAGAAGAGAATGGAAAGAAAGAATAAAATGTGCAAGAAAAGAGAAAAAGAAGAGAGAATATAGTAAAGAAAAAGAAAAGAAATATATAGAGAAAAGACTTCCAGTCTTCATCACCACAAGTATAACAACTCTTCAAAAGTTAAACAGACATCTCTTCATCCCATATTCCATCCCTTAACTATAAACAAATCCATAAAACATCAACATTTCAATCTTGGTGTCAGCAAAAAGTCCAGAGGGTTGCCAGAACATCGTAACAAAATGTTTTAACCTTGATCAAATAAAGCAACTATATATTTCTTCATTTTACTTCTAGCTATCTTAACCTTTAATTCAATCCAAAGTTGTCAAATGATTTTTTTTTTAGTTCTTCTTTATCCCGTCTTACATATTTCTTTAAGGTTTTAACAAGCCTCCTTTCTAAATCCAATATGAAAATATTTTCCATGTCATTTTTTTGGTGAATCATTTGTATTTTCCTTTCATTTTTAAAACTTTGGCCAATTTCTATGGTATGTCCAGTAACACATTATTTTCCAAATCATTATCTTGGGCTATCATTTGTTGTTCCATACTTTCTACTTTATTTTATCACATAAAATTTGTCTCATGTCTTTCATTCCTCCATTAACATGTTTTAGTCTATCCATAGAAGGATATCATTACTGACAGTTGATACTGTAATTATTAACTTCTGACTCCTTTCTTCAAAGATTTCCTTTAATGTTAACATTTGTTATAATGTTTTGTATTATTCTGTAAATCTTGGGATTAACTGACATCAGCTGTTGTTGTTTTCTGCTTAAAAAGTTTATTCCCCTCCAATTTCCAAAAACATCACTTATCTTTTGTTATTGACTTGCCATTGCCAAAATAACAAAATATACCTGTTTCCTACGAGAAGTTGTTTATTTTTTATAGATAAATCAAAAACCTTATTTTCCAATATTGAAAATTTACTGGACCCTTAATCCATTCATAACTATCTTAGATTAAAATCTTATTTAGCTTTTCACTTTTTATTTCAAATTCTTTAAATTCTAAAGGTTGTAAATATTTTTTATTTTGTTCAACGTTGAAGGTAAACTCATCCGATTAAGTTTTTTCAAACCTATCTCTAGATCTAGTTCTAGAGTAGTTAATAAGCAATTTCTGAAAGCGATTAAAAAGTGAGGTTTGCAAACTTAGTGTTCTTTAAAAGTCTCCATCTCGGTTGGGAGCAGGAGGGCTAATCCCATTGTCTTCTGGTGCTCAAACCCATGAAAAATGGCTGTCCTATGGTCTCCTTGCCAGGAGCAGCCATCTGGAGCCAATATGGGTGATTCTTTTTTTTATCATATAAGTTCCAAGGAATTGGCATGCATACCAGTTCCTTGGTCTTTGCTGCAGATGTCATCCCTGCTTTTCCAAAGCCATCTTCAGTTTTTAATTATCTAAAATTCTATTTCCAATTTTTAGGTTATTAAAATGTTTTGCAGGTGCTTTTAAAATAGAAAAGTAGGCTAAAATATGTACTAGAGAAACAAAACGGCTAAATGGCATTTAATTATGTTGGAGATGACTGGCTTTTAGCTTCCGTTATTGCCAGTAATTATTGGCTGGAGCCATTTGTATTCAACAGTTCTTGCCTTGTAGAATTTGTTGATATGGAGCCAAATGATGTAAATTAATTTTGTTAAGCAGATCTAAAACAAATTAATTTGTCATAACAAATCTATCGAAATGTTCAAACCCCCATTCCTTTCACAAAAGGTGGGCATGCAAAATAGCCAAGGTGATCTTTTGTGTCTTCATGACATACACAAGCTTTTATGCTACAGAAAGTTATTCATCTGCTCCCTAACCTGGGAGCTTGAATCATTATGTACCAATAGTGGATTATTCCTATCTGTTCTTTATATAGTATAATTAACACAATAGGTTAAAACAGTAATGCCATTCTAGAACCTATAAGATTTCAGTTCCCATCACCATTGGCAGTCTAGAAGGTTCATTGATTCAGTGTCCCTCAACTAAAGGATTTAATATTCCCTCCATTGTTCCCTATTTTGTGATATATCAGATGGCACCCAGAAATTCATAATCTCTGCTGAGTACTTGTAAACTGTCTTGGTTCTTAGGAAAGCGAAATAAAGATTTGGCTGAGAAGACATACATTAAATAGACACAAGGAACTTTGTTCAAAAAGTAAAAGGCAGTATAGTTGTAAGAAGGTTGGGCCCACTTGACCAGAAAGTTCACTACCGTGTTTCCCCAAAAATAAGACTCGTGTCATATATTTTTTGAACCCTGAAATAAGCGCTTGGCCTTATTTTCGGGGTGGTCTTATTATTTTGGGGCACGTGGAGCAAGACGGGGCTCTCCTTGCCGTCTTACCTGATTTCTAGCTTTGTCTCCCTAACCCTAACCAGAGGAAATGTCGGGGACTGGCTCTGCATGCATTTAAATATTTTCAGGGAGGGCTTATTTTTGGGGAAACACGGTAGGTGATTTGGAGCTAGTCTAGGGATACTAGTTCTGGGCTGGGGGAAAAAAACCCAACCTCTGCATACTATCAAAGGGATCACCTTTGCTGCAATCTAGTGGTTGTCCAGATTTCTGCAGTCCAGATTTGGTAGTCCTAGGATAATTATTTTCTTTCAGCCTGGTCACTCTTATATATTTGCTATAATAATATCCGTGGGATAAAGAATACGAACCTTCAAAAAGAAAGATGAACGACATTTAAGCTTAAAAGAAATGTAAAGTTTATCAAAGGAAGGGCTATTAGTGCTGTGGTTAATGGAAGGCTGCTTTGGAACACTACACGTGACCACTGACTATCTGTCCATCCATCTCTCAAAAAAGTAGAGAAAGGATAAATCGGGAATTATGGAATGAAGAATGTGAAAACGCTAGGTCAGAGTAACTGAAGATAGAATGTACAGCGGAATTGAAGAAAACAGCCAAAGGGTAGGATGCCTGCAAAGGACTGCTCAGATAAGAAGTTCAGTCAATGAGATAGAACAGGAGTGACCAAAGGTGTCGGTCAATACATCTGGACCTCCATGATTTTGTACTTTCATACCTATGTATTCCTTGCTGCTACTCCAATGAAATCAGCTTGAAGAAGAAGGTTCTCAGTTAGATCCTGTTCTGAGGGTATAGCAGGCTTGAGAAACCTGACTGTGTGTGTACATTTAGTTCTTTTTTCCCCTCTGTTTGCTGTGATCATTCACCAGAGCAGGTTGGTGTTTCTAGATCAGCCTCCCTCTTTCAAGGCATGTTACAAAAATCAAAAGGACTCACAACTTTTATTAAAAGGCTTTGGAGACAGTAAAGTGATGACATGAGTGCAACTCACAAAAGTTGATGCCTTTTAATAAAGTTTGTTAATCTGAGAAGGTACTACTAGACCTCCTGATTTTTTTGTCTTTCCCATCCTGCCACTTGTCAGGTGCTTTGTACTTCAATTCCTGTTCCCAGCAGACTGAGGTGTCTGGGAATTCTTGTTCATCTGGAAAATACCTTCTATGCAGACCTGTTTTGGCCCATTGAGATGAATTGTTCTAAAATTCAGACAGCTGTCAAATTTCTTGAACCTTCTCATCCCTTACCCAGTTCCACTGCAAGTTTAATTGTACCAGATGCCAAAGCTGTCACCCAGTTTGGTTTTGTTCCAGAATTTGGCAGCAATTCTATAGAGAAATGTATTGAAAGACCCAATCCTGGAAAAGAAAGCATGGTGTCCATTAACACATTTATTTCCTTTGCTGTGAAGAATTTAGGTAGTCTTTGGCAGCTCATATCAAACTGCTCAGTTTGCATTGAATGGAATAAAATATACATTGTTTGAAAGAGGCAGCTTCGCATTCTCTTGATTCTTTTTTCTCTCTCAAAAAGAAGCACAGTGGAACTGGTTTGGATTGAGATTGTAATGTGGCATGTATAAGAAGCTATCAGTTATAAGCCTTTCTCCTCTTGGTGCAGTCCCAGCCTGGTTCCCAACCTCTTAAATGAAAAGCTGCTATTTACTGGATCTTTTTAGCAATGTAAATTGGAGACATTAAAGTAAAAAAAATGAAAACTATCCTCATCTTGATGCTGGTAGTTTTTTTCCTGTCAGATGTCCTCATTTTTAGGTAAGGAAAAGGAGTATGGTTGCTAACCACATTTTTAAAGTATTATATACAATAGTTTGACTCATAGTCCGACTCAGAATAAGCTTTTTACATTTCCATGACCACAACTGAAAAATAATATTAGCCAGATGAGCCATTGGTCTGATCCAACATGGGTTTTCATATACATTATTTGCAAGCTTTTGACCGGTGGTGAGCAGAATGGGCTCATTTTCTTCTCCGTCTAAAAATGTATCATGAGAGGTAACCCTCAATTCTCTTTGGGATAGAAGTTGCATTGTGATTGGCCGAAATCTGATTAGGACTGAGATTTGTAAGATGATTTTTTTCCCCTTTAGCCCTGTCCTTTCTGCCTCCTCCCATTCTCCTAGAATTCTAGAAATTGTCACTTTCACCAGTCAACCTAATTAATCTTTTCTTCTTATTTTCCTCTTGGCCCTGATTATAGGCGGATATAAGATCCAGAGAATATATCCGGAAACATATGGAGGTCAACATTGGTGTGCCCCCTCCTCAGCCAGAGAGGTCGGTGTTTATGTGGCTGGAAAGCTATATGTGCCACCCCTCCACCTGCTTTTTTAATGCTCTTTGGGAATGGCATTAAAGTGGCATCCAGGGTCTATCCTGTTCCTCAGGACCAGCTGTTTCTGGCAGAGCCTCATACGTCTCTGCAAATTGCATGGTTTCCCAAAATGTTTGAATTAGATTTGCTACAACCTTGAAATGATCACAAAACACATTCATATCTTGGAGCAAAGGTGCCCATTTGGCAGCAAAGGTATCTAGGTGATATGTATGTTCTGGAAGAGTTGCACGTCACCTTTGCTGTGATACATCCAGAGTTATTCCAGGAAAGTGACATTTTATTCTTAGAAATCAGTCTTCCAATGAGTAGCATTAGCTTACAAGGAAGGAAAGTAAAAAAAAAAAAAAAAGAAGTGGAATTTAAAATACAGTCTCTACAGATGGATTGGGATAACATACTCCACCTTTACATAATTGCATCCCAACATCTAATGCTAGTGTCTAGATTTTTGTCATGACACATGTTTGATCACTTGCTTCCTTCTTTAGAGGCCAAGATCTGGAAAGTGCCAGATTGGGGGAGGCTGACAAAGATGAAGACAAGCATTGAGGTATGTCTGTTCCAGGGTGGGCGCTTAAGTTGGGACAATTTCCCATTCCAAACCTTGTACTCTTTCAGATTCATTTGGGGTGGGGGGGGTGTCATCTTAGTTTGACTCTGCCCTGTTTTGTACCCTTCTTTCCTAGAGCTAATCACAAAGATGAGCTTTCATCTCTAAGGCCACCATCCTGGGGAAGAGAATGTGGCAATTTCCATCTATTCCACAAAGCACTGCCCAGAGGTCAAAGACAATCAAGACAGCTCTTTCAAGAGCACTTTCATCCAGGGATTTGCCAACCCCATTTTGGAGCAAGAAACATCATCCTAACAGAGTAGGCCTGGTCTTTAAGTGAACACAAAAGGCAAACGAAATGATCCGGATGAATAGTGATCTAAGGCAGTGATGATGGTGGTAGACGGGTTGCCCTGTGTAGCTGACAGATTACTTTCCTGCAGTGCAGAGAATCTTGGGTGAATTCCTCAGGAAGGACTTTTTTGTCTACCATCTGCTCCATTGCTTATCCTGAAGTTTCCTTTCAGGACAGTAAAAATCCTGAAACTTAGGATAGCTTTCCCAATTTTGGTCCTTTCCAAGTGTGCTGCCTGGGAATTCTGGCAGTTGAGGGCCAACATATTCTGGAAGGGAATAAATCATTATGTGCCAGTTTAATGGTCATAGGCTCGGCTTGATCCCTGTAAGCAAAAAAATACATTTCCTAACACGGCATTACATATTGACTGAAGACACTGAACGCTGACTATGGTATGATATTTTGTTTTTAAATTATTGTGAAATGCTGTTTTCTGCTTATTCTATTTATCCTATTTGTACACTGCACACTCCTGGCAAAGCTACCTTGTGGCAGTGTATGTGCATCTATGGTGATGGGGAGTATATATTGGTTTTAATAGGTTGAGTAGTGTGAATTATTCACAACAATTTGCTCAATTTTCCTGCCATGAAACTGATGCTGGTTAAACCTGTTATTGAGCTAAGAAAGAGTTTGGGTTATCCTTGAAATCACAAGTGCCTTAAATACTCTTTATATTCCTTTTTACCTATTCTAGCCAAAGTGAGTTGCTCCATGGCAAGTTGGCTGTGGTGAGTTGTCCTGCAGTGAGTTGACCGTGGCGAATTGGCTATGACAAACTGGCTACATGAGTTGGCTGCAGTGAGTTGTCCCATTCCCTACTGCAGAGGCACAATAATTGTCCTGATGCCTCACTGTCCATTCTTGTGTTCTTCCTCTCTGCCTGGGATAGTGCTGAGATTTTGGAAAGACTACTGATGCAGTCATAGAGCTGGGCATCTGCTAATTCTCAGATCTGTCTCATCTGCCCACTTCTTGTCTCTCTTCCCCGAGAGCAGGTACTCATCAGTGCCAGAAATAAGTAACTTGTTTCTAGGTTACATACTCCAAGAGTTCTAATTTCAGAGAAGGAGTAAATTGTTTCACAGGGCTTCTGTTCTCTAGTGCCATCTTACTGTGTTGCATCAACTGTGCAACAACTTCACAATAGAGAAGAGAGAGTCTAGATTAATACAACTTTGCTCAGGTTAGTGATAAGGCTAGTGAAGAAATCAAACCTGTTTACTAAAGGGGAAGTCCTGAGTTCAGTGGCACTTATTAGAAAGTCAGCAGGCTGCAGGCTGCAGCTTCTGTTCCCCAAGGTATTCTAGCATCCACCTAGAAGTGCAGAAGCCAGCTGTAGAAACACTTTCTGTCGATAAACAATCTCCGAAAACTGCTTTCCTGGAGATACTGAAAACATTGCTCAATTAATTAATTAGCTACCAGAGAGTCTGTTAATGAGCTTTTCAAATTCTCCTGCATTTGTTGGCAGCTCTAAGGGGTTTTATCCTCCTGCCCCTCTCCAGGATAAATGAAAACGGTCTCTGAACATTAATGGGGCATCAAGAATGTGGTTAAATACCTTTTTTTTCCAAGTTATAATTCTATGTAAATTTTAATCCTTTACTCCACATATTCTCCCCTTGATCAAGCATTATATTCAAGTTTTTTTCCCACTTACAGTGCATTCAGAAAGTATTCCGACCCCCTTCATTTTTGTCAATTTTGTTATGCTGGATCCTGATTCTTCAGTTGTTGAAATTCATTTTTTTCTCATTAATCTGTACTCAGTATCCTATAATGACAAAGTGAAAACAGAATTGTAAAAATGTCTGTAAATTTATTAAAAAAACCAAATTGAAATATTGCATTGACATAAATATTCAGACCAGAGGTGAGTTTCAGCAGGTTCGGACCAGTTCTGGAGAACTGGTAGCGGAAATTTTGAGTAGTTCGGAGAACTGGTAGTAAAAATTCCAACTGGCCCCGCCCCCATCTATTCTCTGCCTCCCAAGTCCCAGCTGATTGGGAGGAAATGGGGATTTTGCAGTAACCTTCTGGAGTGGGGTGGGAATGGAGATTTTACAGTATACTTCCCCTGCCACGCCCACCAAGCCATGTCATGCCCACCAAGCCACACCCACAGAACCGGTAGTAAAAAACTTTGAAACCCACCACTGATTCAGTCCCTTTGCAACAACACTTGAAATTTAGCTCTGGTGATTCCCATTTCTCTTGATTGTTGCTGACATGCTTCTATACCTTGATTGAGGTAAATTAAACTGATTGGACATGATTTGGAAAGGCACATATCTGTCTATAGAAGGCCTCACAGCTGACAATGCATATTGTAGCACAGCAAAAGTCACGAAGTCAAAAAACTGCCTGCAGAGCTCAGAGACAGAATTATTGCAAGGCATAGATCTGGGGAAGGCTGCAATAAAATTTCTGCTGCACTGAATTTCTGTTCACTGAAGGTTCCTAAGAGCACAGTGGCCTCCATAATTCTCAAATGACACAACCAGTACTCTTCCAAGAGCTGGTCATCCAGACAAACTAAGCAATCGGTGGAGAAGGGCCTTAGTAAGAGAGGTGACCAAGAACCCAAAAGTCACTCTGACTGAACTCCAGAGATCCTGTGTGGAAATGGAATAGAGTTCCAGAAGGACAATCACTGCATCCCTCCACCAATCTGGGCTTTATGGCAGAGTGGCTAGACAGAAGCCTCTCTCAGTGCAAAACACGTGAAAGCCTGCTTGGAGTTTGCGAAAAAGCATCTGAAGGACTCTCAGACTGTGAGGAACAAGATTCTCTGGTCTGATGAAACCAAGATTGAACTGTTTGGCCTCAATTCTAAACATTATGTCTGGAGGAAACCAACCACTGCTCATTACTTGCCCAGTATCATCCCAACAGTGAAGCATTGGCAGTATCATGCCGTGGGGGATATTTTTCAGCAGCGGGGACTGGGAGACTGGTCAGGGTTGAGGGAAAGCTGAATGGAGCAAAGTACAGGGATATCCTCAATGAAAACCTGTTCCACAGCACTTGGGACCTCAGACTGGGCTGAAGGTTTACTTTCCAACATGCCAACGATCCTAAGCATACAGCCAAGACAACACAGAAGTGGCTTAGGGACAACTCTGTGAATGTCCTAGAGTGGCCCAGCCAGAGCCCTGACTTGAACCCTATTGAATATCTCTGGAGGAACCTGAAAATGGCTGTCCATTTTGAAAGTCGCCATCCAACCTGACTGAGCTTGACAGGATTTGCAAGAAAAAAGGGCAGAAAATCCCCCAATCCAGGTGTGCAAAGCTTGTCAAGTCATACCCAAAAAGACTTGAGGCTATAATTGCTGTCAAAGATGCTTCAACAAAGTACTGAGTGAAGGATCTGAATACTTATGCCAATGTGATATTTCAGTTTTTTATACCAGATTTATAGAATTTTTATAATACGATGTACTGTTGGTATTCAGCTGCTGATAAATTGTCAAAAAAGTGTAAGGCATCTGAAGATAAATTTTATTTTTGATGGACATGTAAAAAAGCTAAAAATTATTGGGATCAGATGTACCTTTATTTTGAGAATTCTTGGAATAAATGTGCACTTGAAACCAAAGATTTTTCTTTTACGTTTGATGGATTGAAAAAAAAAGTGAGACTTTATATGATCACAGCAGCAAGACAGAGATGGAGGGATTTACAGATTCCCACAATGGAAGAATGGATGGTGAAGTTAATGGAGTTGGCAGAGCTGGCAAAATTGGCAACTTTGATTAAAGAAAGACTTTAACTTTGTTGCTACTTGGAAACCACTTTTGGATTGTTTTCTTGAAACTGAAAGAAATGAAACTTTAATCGTGGGATTGATTATTAGAACTTTATAATTATCAGAATATTATATGCTTATATTTGTATAGGTACCAAAGAAAATTGGAAGTTTTGTTTTCTATTTTTTTCCTATTGTTCCTTTTCTACATTCTAATCTTGTTTCCATCTTGACCTTTCCCCCTTTTTTTATTTTTCTATTTTATATTTTATTCTTTGTTGAAACGATAACATTTCGTAAATGAAGAATGTTTACTATATAAACTATGTCCACAATTCATAGGTTGTCTGCTGATCCTGGTAACCATCCTTTGTTGAAATGCAGTGATTGCACACAAGAAGCACTGCTGGGAGCCAATAGAATAGAATAGAATAGAATAGAATAGAATAGAATAGAATAGAATTCTTTATTGGCCAAGTGTAATTGGACACACACAAGGAATTTGTCTTGGTGCATACGCTCTCAGTGTACATAAAAGATACATTCGTCAAGAATCATAAGGTACAACACTTAATGATAATCATAGGGAAACAGTCAATATAAATCTTAAGGATACCAGCAACAAGGTTACAGTCATACAGTCATAAGTGATAGGAACGATGACAAGGTTAACAGTAGTGCAGACTTAGTAAATAGTTTGACAGTGTTGAGGGAATTATTTGTTTACCAGAGTGATGGTGTTTGGGAAAAAACTGTTCTTGTGTCTAGTTGTTCTGGTGCTCTATAGCATCATTTTGAGGATAGGAGTTGAAACAGTTTATGTCCAGGAGGCGAGGGGTCTAAATATTTTCACTGCCCTCTTTTTGACTTGAAGGCAGGTTGATAGTAATTGTTTTTTCTGCAGTTCTAATTATCCTCTGAAGTCTGTGTCTGTCTTGTTGGGTTGCAGAACCAAACCAGACAGTTATTGAGATGACAGAGCCTTGGTAGTACAGGGGTTTAAGGCACCCTGTTATTAAGCTTATTAAGACCAGCTGCCTGCAATTACTGCAGGGTTCGAATCTCGCCAAGGCTCAAGGTTGACTCAGCCTTCCATCCTTTCTAAGGTAGGTGAAATGAGGACCCAGTTTGTGGGGGCAATAAGCTGACTTTGTATAAATATACAAAAGGATGAAGGCTATTGCTGAGCACATTGTAAGCCGCCCTGAGTCTTCGGAGAAGGGCGGCATATAAATCAAATTAAAAAAAAAATAATAATAATTCCTCTGTAGAACTGTATCAGCAGCTCCTTGGGCAGTTTGAGCTTTCTGAGTTGGTGCAGGATCCTTTGATGTACCAATCTTCAACCACCTCTCAAGGCCGTTTCCCTCGCTTTGTGACAGGAAATTGTTCTTTGTTTCTTGGCATAAATGGAAGACCAGCTGACAAGCAATATGGTTTACATGGAAATAAACCACCTCAAGGATGTGCCCACCACTTGGAATGGCGGCCATGGGGTGGAAGGAGTTGTTCCTGAAATCAAAATCCAATCTTTATTCTGAACCTGCTCTTTCAGAGGAAGCCCTAATTGACATCTAGGGAGGGTTTGATTAGGGAGAGACATTTGGGATGAAAATAGCAAGATCTTTTTCGTCAGATCAACGAAAGGAAAAAGAGTGAGACCGGGCATTTTTCCCTTCTACAAGACACGTTATACTATCAGTTTTTATTTGGTATTTAGCTGGAAGCTGTTTCAAACACGCTCTCCAGTGAGCCTATCCGGGTAATGCCAGTATGCATGTGCTTCCATAGACAGATTCAACATTTGGGGAGAATATCTTGCACGTGGACTATCTAAGGATGATTCATACTCAGCTAAAATGAAGAGAAGCTGAGTCGCACTTGTGTGGAAATCGTGGTCTCACTGTGGAAAAACATCTTGTGGGGATTTTTTTCCTTTTTTTTTTCTTTGGTGCAGCGACACGCAAAGCACCACGTCTCGGTTTGAAATTGCCTAACGACAATTTAGAATTAGATCATCTAAATTTAGGTGATTTAGAAACAAAGTTGATTTAAAAGTGAAATGCTGAAAATAAATCTTGACCGGTAATTGGGTAAATGATGGGTATAGGTACCCATGCATGTTATTGGATAAGAACAAAGTAGGAAAAATGTGCTTGCTGGTATCTGTTGTTACTTGTACTGTAAAAAAAAAAAAAAAAAGGGCTGAAGGGCTATTGAGGAAATAAGGGAAGAAACTGAGATTCTTCGTGAAAAATGTTCTTAAATGGAGCATGCTACTTAAGCACAAAGACTGTCATCATTTAGCTGGTATAATGTGTGTCTGCCTTTTGCTTGAGGGTGTTTTTTTCCCCCCACTCTGCTATCAAGTCATTCCAATGTCTGGCTTGTCCTCCTCCCCTCCCTCCCTGTCTGCGTGATTGTGATTGCTGCTGTCATTTTCACACCTCCCTGGGGAACAGATGCTGAATTCCCAGCTCCCTATGGTCCCAGCAGATGGGTGGAGCTAGGACTTTGTGTATTGGGTGGGTGTGTAGCTTGCGGAAGCCAACCATCTGCTCCCTTGTTTTGTAGGAGGCTCCAAGGCCGGGGTTAAAACACAGGCTTATGAGGAGCTTTAAATCTTCCTTGCCAGATCCGTTGTGCCACCTGCAGCCTGCAGACAGTCATATTTGGCCTCCAGCAGTTGACACTGTAGTGGCCAGCATGGTGGTTGGCAGGACTGAATAACTCACCCTGAAGCTGACAGGAAAGAGGATTTGGTTGTATTGCTTACACAGAGACGTGACAGAAATCGGTCTGCAGATCCCTGGGAAATGTGCCGTCTATCTTGTCAGCAAAAGCTTAAGCCGACCAGCCAGAGCTCATATTCCTCTACCTCTGTTTATTTCTGACTCAAGTTCAGCCCTGGGTTATCTGGCTCAGGATCAATCATGACATCCATTATCCTTGGCCTATGTCTGCATCCACAAGATCTCCTCTGTTCAATTCTATCCTGCTGGTTATCAAAATCTCTCTCCCTCCCTCCCTTTTTGATTAAGTCCTTTTAGTTTTGATATGCAACTCTGATTTTGCTTCCAGCAAAGTTCCACGAGTCTCATCTGGCATCCTGACTTCATCCCAAGTAGTAGCTCTTCTCCACCTTTGTTTTGGTCATGATCTGCCATTTTGGCTCCATCACCCACTCCCTTCTTAAATCCAATCTGTGTTGCCATCTTAGATCTTTGTGCAACTGTGCTGCATTTTTGACATTGAACTTTGACGCTAGGCCAAAGTTACTTACCCTACTGCATGGGTCTCAAACTCGCTGTGTCATGTTGCTGTCATGTGATGTTTCGCAACGTTTTCCCCATTCATGGAGCTGGGGTGGGCGTGGCCTGCACATGATGCATCCCGCCCATGAGCCGCCAGTTTGACACCCCTGCGCGGCCTACTGAGTTTCTCAGACGTACAATAGCTGGGTTGTCTAACGCAGGTCAGTCCACTTTTACAAGCCTCTTTTGCTGAGGCAATTGGCGCAGTAACCCAGTGCTGTCCCAGCCATTGCAGCTGGCGTGTCTTTGAAAGCAACCAAAGCTTGTTGCTACTGGCAGATAAGATGCTCAGCTGTGATCCAAAGGGGTGGAAAAACAGGGGCTGTTAAGCATCTTGCAATTCAGCTGTTTTGCTACAGCAAAGGGTCCTTGGCGAACAGCGTGTGCAAAGGCAAATACAATCTGGCTGAAAGCAGTGGTACCATCTGCCCACAGCTGTGAAGGTGTCAGAGCCTGAATCTCCAGGACACCTGCCAGATGGCTCCATCCATCATTCTAATGCTTCACTTGTTCCTCAGATACAGGAGCTGGAAACAGCACTTACTGTGGTCCTGCAGGGCCATTTGGAAGGCGGACTGCCACCTGTCAGTGGGGAAAAAAATCGAGGGGAGGGGAGGAAGCAAAGAGACTCCTGCCTTCTCTACTTCCTTGGTAAAGTAGAAGAACCTGAGCAAGAGCTTGAAGGTCACTCGGCAGAGGCAAGGGGGCTGTGGATTTGGAAAGCCACAGAATGAGAAGACATCATCAGCCTCTTCCTTACGGTTTCTGTGCCTGCGTGCATGTTGGGCACAGGAAGGAGCCTTTGGAACAGGGGTGGGCTCTATTTACCTTTACTACCAGCAAATCGTCGATGACAACATCCAGGGCGGTGGGCGGGGCCTCCCGCCGGTTTTACTACCGGTTCTTCCGAACCGGTCCGAACCGGAGGCAACCCACCACTGTTTTGGAATTGTCAACAAGAGTCCCATAACACCTCCACATCCTAGAAAGTTCATCATCATCTTCAGCAGCAGCAGCCTTTTCAGAATGGATGTCTGACTCCTAATTTTTCATTTGCAGTCCCTGACTGGAGTAGCTGGTGTTGGATCCTCTCCTTGTTTCAGTTGTGCCTTCTCACCCTACACATCTGGGGCTCAATCAATGGATCTTCTTCAAAGACTGACAGTGGGAAGAAATCTGAGGCTTTCAATCCAGCTACTAATTTTGTTTTATTTATTTTTTTAAAATCAAGATGGTTCACACATCAGTCTATATCGGGGATGGGGAACGCTGGCCCTTTTATGACTTGTGGACTTCAATTCCCAGAATTCCTGAGCCCTGTCATGCTATGCCATGACCCCAAGGTTTAGGGGGTCATGGCATAGCATCTTTTGTGAACCCAGCACAATGGATGAGTTTACAGAATAGAATAGAATAGAATAGAATAGAATAGAATAGAATAGAATAGAACAGAACAGAACAGAACAGAACAGAACAGAACAGAACAGAACAGAACAGAACAGAATAGAATAGAACAGAACAGAACAGAACAGAACAGAACAGAACAGAACAACAGAACAGAACAGAATTCTTTATTGGCCAAGAGCTAAAGGTTTCCTTGAATTGGGTCATTGCCTGATCTCATTAGGCATCTGGCGGAACACAACCACCATGTGAGATAATTCTTGTCCAGTAAATTCAAAGCCCTTCAGAAGTAATTCAATCAGGAATCTTCTCTCGATTAATTGAGATAAGTCAAAAACGGGGAGGTGTTTTTTTCTTCTTCTTTCTAGTGGACTTTCGTGAAAAAGTCACTATAACAATTTGGCTCTTGAAAGCTGGAGAGAAAAAGTCCATTGAGATGGTGACATCACCAGGGATGAATGGAAGTAATGCTTAGTCATTTTTTTTTTTTTAAGGTTTTGATGAGGTTAAAGGATCCAAATAGATGCATCAAGCTTTGGGATGATTTAACCTTTAAAGGATTAAAAAACAGGCAAAATGTCAGTGTCGCATAGAGTACTGCTGCCAATTCTCAGTGGGG